CGTCGGGAGTAGAGGGAAGAGGCTGCAGCGGCCGGGGCTCCCCTGACAAGCAGTACTGGCTAAAGCCGAGAGACAGGAACGGCGCCGCAGGTACCTTGACGTTTAAACTCACCCGTGGTTTCTAACAGAGCTGCAGTGCAGAAGTGTGTCAAAGCGGTAATATCTGAGTAACTAGGTGAAGATTTGGCCACCAGAGATGGTAGATGTGCTAGAACAAATCTCAAGGGACAGTATCAAGAATTCCTTAAATGGATGTTCCCTGAAAAATGCAGAATTCAGAGATTTGCAGATCAGCGCACGGTTAAACTTAGAGCTGGGATAAAGGCTATGGTTTAGAAGACAGGAGTTGTTTGCGCATTGGTAAGAGTTTGCGATGGAAGGGCCGAGATAGGAAATCAGTTCTGCCCTGTGAAGGTGTTGAACCCCAAGGGAGCTTTAACAGAGAATGAGCAGTATGATAGACCTCTGTTTTTCCTATGCCAGTGTGCACTTTCACGCCACTTCAACTTGATTTTTCACCTGGAACTCAGCTCTCTTCATATGCTATCATATTTAGCTGGGAACAAAATGGAACATGCCATTCTTCAAGGCTTTTCATATTTGCCACAGCCCTTCAGTAAACTGTGTGTTGACAGTAGGCAGTACTTGTAGCAGTGTATTAAGCTCCACATTTGTTGTACAATATAAAACACAAAAGAGAGAGGTTTACAGCTCTCAATACCTAACATGTTTTGCTGCTTTCACTTGTCTGCTTTTCCACTCCACTAGTAGGCAGAGCCTGCTATTTTGTGTTTGCTTTAATCTACATAGTGAACCATTTGGGACATAGCCTGCCCACACTTAAGGGTTCTTTTGCATGTCATGCCTGTTGTCTCTTTGTCAAAATAGCCACAAATTTCACTGAGGCATCTAAATACTCTGGTATTTTCCAAGTCACCAACAGACTTCTGAGACAAATATCTATGACATGGCATGACGTACTGTTCTGATTCTTCCAGTATATGCATTTTTTCTTTGCTTTCTAATTCTGACGGTGAACTCAGAAAATAATGGCGGTAATAACGGTAATAGATAGCTTACACACCTTTTTTTTTTCTTTTCTTTTCTTTTTTTTTTTTTTTTCTCTAGGATAGATCTGCAAAACTTTACAGCTACTTCTACACATTCCTGACAAAGAATCACGCTGCTGGTCAAAAGACACTTTACTGAACAATCTAAGCACTAAGCAACAGAGAATTTGAAAAGTAGCGCTTAAGATTTCAGCAGATCTCTCTAGAATAGCATTAGAAATGATCTTGTGTTTATACAAATTATTGGTATGGAATATTTATTGTAACAAGATAGTTTGTAGGACAAACTTTTTAGAACAACAACAAAGAATCTGAATGAAGAGTGAAAGAAGTTTGTGATGTAAAACAGAAGCAGAGGCTGAATTCAGCCTTTAAAAACTGTGAACAATATTTAGTCCAGAAAGATAGAGAAGAAAATGGCTTCCACAAGTCACTGTAAAAGAAGTCTCTGGCACACCAGCTACAATCTCAGTCATAGAATGGTTTGAAAATATAGAAATGAGGTCATGAATTTTGATTGAAAATAGTGAAGGGTGCCAATTTTACAACATTTGAGTTCCTGTTTGGTCTTATTCATAATTTTCTGAAACTCTTTTTGCACCAAAATGTTCTGAGCTTAGTTGCTCTCTGAATGTGGAAAATTTGATCAAAGTAGTTCAGCATTTAACAGCAAAAGTAGAGAAAGTGGAGAAATGGCTAATCTTCTATGGAAACCTTTGGCTGATCTTAAAAAGTCTATAGGCTCCTTTCTTTATCTTTTGCATCAGACAATACCTGGAGCTGGTCCACGAGAATGTTTAGAATTTACTTTATGATAGGAAACTCAGCATTATAAAAAAAAAACAATGCATGCTACAGCCTTTAAAAGTGTTATCTGATTAATAATAATAATAATAATAATAAACATTTACCCAGTTATCTGTGATATTTCTCCATAGGGAAACTATTCAAATTTCTTGAAATATTTTTCTTGAAACATTTTTTCAGTCTGGGTTGCGGCTACAATGTATTTTTTTAACCAGACTCCGGGACCAGATATGAAATAATGAAAGTTGCATCAGCACAGTGTTTCATTCTACATATATGCTTTTTCATATTTTGCACTGACACAGAGCATGGCAAGTACAAAATTCATAAGCTTAGCAAGAAAATCCTGAAGGGAAAATTCATAGTTTTCTTAACTAAACAAATACAAATTATTTTATGTTGTTTCTGACTTATCAATGATTTTTATTTTATGCCCATACCTGCTTTCTCTAGTGCTTTTCAAGGGAGAAATCAGTTGATACATTTATTATAAGTTAATTTATATAAATATATATGCATACCATTAACATACAGTGCACTAAAAAATCAATTAATATATAAGTATGCCAGTGTATATTAACTATACAAATATGCATATTACATCTATGTATTATAGCTTAAAATTATAAAATATAGATTCTGTAAGTCTGTTCTGATGATCAATGGCTTAATATGTATGTATGGTGAATTTTTTTTGGGTGACTTAAAAATGTCTATCTGTGAATGATCCCTTGTCCCTTGCATTAATCAGTAAAGTATTTGAAAGGTTTGCATGATAAGCCAATTTCTGAAGGTTAGTCCTTTAACAGAGAATTTGATTACTGCTATGAAAGTCTAGCTGATATTTTACTGTAACCTAGCTGCTCTTTTTTTTTTTTGCTAAGAAGTTAATGAATCTGGAG